ATGTTTATATTTTTTAATTTTAATATTATATAAAAATATTAATTTTTTAGTAAATATATTATATAATATATTAAAATATATGTAAATCAATGTCCATTTAAATGGATAAAAGATTTCAAATGTTATCTGGTTTGCTTTTTAAGTTTTTTCTATATTAACCTCCAGTTTGCTTTTTAAGTTTAGGGCAATTATCTCTCTGGATTAAGTTCTAGAGATTTTTCATTTTCCAATTAGGAAGAGGATGACAGTTTGTTGTGTTATTTGTGGGGTGCTTTTTACCACTTGTTTAAAAGTCGGACTGAACAGGTTGGTTAGATTGATTGGTTGGACTGGAATCAATCTTGAAAATTTCTACAAAAAAAAAAAAAAGGAATCAATCTTGAAAATAGTGTGGATTATGATATTTAACTTCGTAGTAGTCTTGAAAGTCGGGTCAACACACGGTTAAATTCAACCAAACCCTGCCAAACTTGGGCAGGCAGCCAAATATGGTCAAAGCTAGTCAACCCAAATGGGATCATTTTTTTCATTTTTCCTTTTTTTCTCCCTTTTTCTTGAATCTTTTATTTATTTATTTTATAGAAAATATAAAATTTCAAATTTCAAATTTATTTAAAGTCAAATTAGTAAAGAATGAAAAATTTTAAATTAATTAAAATGTAATTTGAATTAATTTTAAAAAAATAAAATTACATACTTTTTTGAAAATAAAGTTAATTTGAAATCAAATCAATTCAAAATTGAAAATAAAATAAATAATTACTTTATTCAATGAACTGAATGAAATCAATTTAAAATTAAAACTAATTTCAAGCAATTATGAAAATAAAATAAATAAAAAGAAAAAATAATTTGATAATTAATATGATATCAATTTTTTTGAAAGAACTAAAGGAAAAATATATTAGATATTTTAATAAATTTGATGACTGAAATTAATTTGAAATCAATCCTAAAAATGTAATGAAAATTGAAAATAAAGTCTCTACCATTAACAACTAATTTGATCAATGTAAAAATAATTTTAATAAATTTTTAAAATAAAATCAATTAAAATAAAATTAATTTAATAATAATTATTAGGTCAACTAATCGAACAAATCAATTTAACTAGTTCAATTAGTTGAAGTGGACCCAATGACCAAAGTTGATTGATTATCGATTTACTGGGGCTAGGTTTTCAATTATTGCTTTTTTCCTCGGAGATGCATGGTTTATACTAGTTTCTTTGGTTTAGTACTTCCAAATTGATCAATCCAATAGTTACAATACAAGTTCTCGTAATCATATTGGTCTTTTTTTATTAAAAAAAAAGGTTTAAAGTAAATAATTCCTAAAAAAAAATAAAATTTGTCCCATGAGATTATTTTAATTGCATCCAAAAAGATTATTTGTTTTCTAAGAAAATTATTTATTTCTTCAGATGTAAGAAGTCTACGCACAGTACTTAATAACAATTATGAACATATAGCATGCAAGTCCAGTAGTTGATGTGGCTAGGAGTGGATGTTTGGTTTGGTTTGGTTCGGTTAACCATATTGAAATACTTGATTAGTGCTAATTAATCAAATACCTCTTGTCTAAGGGTGGGGGCAAGAAGATATATGCTGACGGTTTTAGATGGAGTTAGGGAACGGTGATAAAATTAAGTCTTTGTCATGATAAATGGGTGAGTAGAGAGCCATTAAAAGTAGTATTCCTCAGGTTGTACAATCTATCTAGCAACAAGGACAACCTGGTAATCCATCTGGGAACATGGTCTAACGGATCATGGTCTTGGAATTTAGCTGGGCATCGTTCTTTTTTGGCAGGGATTCAGATCAGGAATCAAATTTGTTGGATATTCTTCAAGATTGCGTCCCAAAGGGGAATGCAAAATATTAGAGATGCTGGATTTCTGGAAAAGCTTCGGAGTGCTCCTCTAAGGAAGGCTATCGGTTGTAATGTAATAACACAAGAATTTTGGATAAAAAACAGGTTACGGAGTCACTATGTTCAAATTGCTCTATACCTACACTGTTTTTTTATTTACATTCACAATTTTGTTGATATAACTTTTATATATACGATTTACTAAATTGTGTGTATATGATTTAAACCTACATATTTTAAAGAATTATAAAAATAATGACTTTACTTACGAAAATAACCTAATATAGGTATAAAAAAAACTTATACCTACAATCAAGATCAATTATAAGTATAGAAGCCACCAATAGCTATAAATTTTCAAAAACCATAACTATAATACATTACCGTTTGTTAACCCTTTGGGAAAAA